GATTTTAGTCTTTGCAACTTTAGGGATCTTATCTATGCATGAACAGCTTGTAACACTCCAAAGAGAAAGGAAAACTTGAAATCGCATCATATGACCCCTTTAATAACAAGCGAAAGGTCATTGTAAATCGTGTGTATAACCCAAGTAATATTTATAAACAATGACAGTCATTTTACTTTTTTTAGGATTGTCCTCATTTTCTGTAACATGTTTTTGTTTTATTAAAGATCATAGACCCTCACATGCCACGAGTGGGGTGCCAGCACAATGGAGTCTCTATCCCAATGCCCCCGCTGGACGTTCTACGGATTGGAGAACAGTTGCAGTACAAGTCAGAAGAGAAACTTTACCTCGTTCTCTTCTTCGACAACAAACGTAGCTGGTGAGATTTAGAGGCTAATTATTGGTATTTGCCAAGTCAAACATCACTATTATTATTGCTCGTACTTAGAGATTTGAGCAAACTAAGCTTTGAACATCTGAAGTTAACTTGTAACTTTTCCTTTTTTGTACTACAGACCATGATAACCATTTAACCTTGTATTCTGTTTTGACACCAAAATGTTACATACCAGTTAAAATTCATAATTCCAGTTTTGATAGCAGAAAAAAATTAAGTCTTATTAAAAAATTTAATTAATTTTATTAATTAAAAATTCAAACATTAAGGACAATTTAACAGTCAGTGATAAACTAAGAGAAAATAAACAAATTACAAGCAACAGCATAAAATGCAATAGAACAAAGATACAAATAAAAAAAACGGATGTTCAGGTAAGATTACCAGAAGTAGGTATTGCAATTGGGCAGTTGCCAAGCTGATACTGCATGTCAGCAGCATAGATTTTATAGCATGCATCTGTATATGTGCAATCCACTAGTTCAAACATACCTGTAATGGATTTGACAAGTGGCAAGTCCAAGTCTGCATCCATGCAACACAGAACTCAACAGACCAACAGCAAGCCTTGTACAAGTCGGAAAAGTACATAATAAAATATGAAGAGCTTAAATAAAAGGAGTTATAGCCAGCTAAATGCAAGCAGAAAAATGCACATTCAAGTCAATTGATTAAATCACAAGAGCATAGTGACCAACATATTTAATATTGTGAGAGCTGAATAAAAAGAAAAGCAAAGAACATGTAATAGATTAACAATTTTATGATGTATAAGGTTTTTTCCAGTGTAGCCCAATTGCAATTTCTAATGTAGCTGAAAGCAGATGAAGGAAACTCATTTGCATTTATTAAATGTTTAATTATTTAATCTTCAATCATTTAAAGAAAACAGTAATTAGTAATTTGATTATTTAATTGAATTAAAAAAAAAAAAAATTGTAGAGAATTAGGCAAATAAAAACCCAATTAGGCGAGACACTACTGGCAAAAATTGTTTTTTTCATACATCTGTCAATTTTGAGATTTTGGGCTTTTTGGCTTTTCATTAAGTATTTTTACAGACTAATGGAAAGAGAACTTTAGAAACACTTTAGTGTTTATTTTATGGCATTTTATCTATTTGAGTCTGTAGATTTTATTTATAATTCATATCTTTAAAGGCCGTTTTCTCAAAATGACATTTTTCTCCTGCAAAAAAAACTATAAAAATCTCTACTTCAGTAGCTGTTAAATACACTTTACAATTTTATTCCAATCTGTATTCTGAAGGTTTTATAGAGGAGTTTGTTCATATATAACTTGCCTGATTTTATACAATATTTTGTTCATAGAAATTTTTTTGATTTTTTTTTTCCTGGCTTTTGACAGTATTTTTATTTATGGGGTGGTAAAAAGAGATCTCTTTTAATAACCTTTGACTCTAATATGTCAACACAATGTAACAATTATTTTGAACCTGGCTTCATCCAGTGTTCAGGTTTTTGTTCTAGTAATCTATGCAAATTAGTGCATATTTAATTAATGACATAATTTACACATAACATTTCAGAAAATTTGTAATACAGAAAATGTTTGCAGTTCTTAATGTAATCAATCAACTAGGGAGGTATATTGATATCTATTATTATAATTTTTTTCTATTAATTTATTTGATTGTGTGTGTTTTTTACCTTGTCCAGGCAGTGGCTTCCTAAATCCAAGATGGTTCCTCTCGGTATTGACAAAACCATCGACAAGATTAAAATGATGGAGGGCCGCACCTCAGCCATCCGCAAGGCTGTTCAGACTGCCTTTAACCGTGCCATGAACCATCTGAATCGAGTCCAAGATGAACCTATTGTGATGTTCAGTGATGTTGACTAAGACTGGCAAATGCAGACACATTTCAAAGCCTTACTAATCGTCATCCCTGACTGGCCCCCTTCTGTAAATAATGTAAATCGCTTATCACTAACTTATTCTTCAGATTTACTGTAATGGGTACTGTACATACATTTTTTTTTTTTTATAGTATTTATACATTTTCGTGAATTATTCCCAGCATAATAACTTATTGATGTTGGAAAAAATTGAAAAAATAAATTGTGTGAAACTAAAGTAAAAGAATACTGTAATCAGGGCTGGAACATGATGTGAGAGTACTTGCTTTTTTCGTGTTTAAATTATTGAAGTTTGTACACACAGGCTTTTATTTGGCATTGTATTTGTAACCTAAGAATGTTTTTACAACAATTTTAACCTATTTTGATGTATTATATAACTAAATATATAACTTTGTCTTTGCATATTAGTAAGTCATTTTGTTATGAAAACCACAGGTGTGTTATTCTGATATTCTAATGAAACCAAAAAAGAAAGAAAAAAAAAATGCTGCCCAGACTTTTGTTTGTGTTGAGTGAATGGTTTTGGTTAAACTTTTTTTTCTTAAATGTTTGTATTTGTATGTGGGAACTCCATAATGGCTGTAGGATACTGTACTTGTACTGGTGTTAATTTATTGTGTTGGGTGGTATGTTTATTCACTGGGGAAAGGATAAAATATTTTACTGGACTTAGGAGTTATTCTTGTTTTTTTTTGTTTTTTTTTTTAAATCAGACCCTGTTTACATTGACTTCTTTAATTTAGTTTTAGTCTGGGTTGTAGTAGGAAGATTTGGGAATACTTTTTAAACAGTATGTCAGTTATTTTAGTTGGTATTACAACTGTTGATTGAATTGTCCTTTTTTATTTTTGTAATAAATTCATAAATGAGGTAGTTATGTCTTGTTTATTACAACAATTACTCTATATTAATATGTACTGTATAGTATATAATATTATTTGCATGGCACTTTAAAGCAACTGTATGTACATTTTCTAACTTGTAATATCAGTTTCCAAATCTGTTTCTGTTAAAAAATCAGCTTCCGTTTCTTTTCCATTCTATACACTAATTACAACAGGTATGTTTCAACACTGAAATCAACTTAACTGTAGGGGGCTCCAAAATCATACATACAGTTGCTTGGTACTGATGTTACATGGCGTTTCTATGCTACGCTTAGTTTGTTATGGACAGAGCTAGGTAGTAACTGATTACATGTGATCTGGATTGCGTAATCAGATTCCAAAAATTAAGTACTTGTAATTAGATTAAATTACATGTTAAAATACTCATAATCAGACTAGTTACTTTTTTATGGATTACATGATTACATATTTACACAATAGCAATAATTTATTAATAATTTATTGATTATCCCTAATTCCTCTTTTTCATCTTTTAAATTTTCCTTTTTAAAAAGATAAAAAAAGATTTGATCTTGGTGTGTGCGTACACTAAAATCCACGGCAACGTTCATATTTATAAAAACGGTCTTTGACGTGGAAAAGTACTTACCGCCAC